CAGCAGTATGTGACACAAATTCTGGGGCTGCACGAGTTAGACATCAACAGGTTGACTACATTTTGTTTCCCTTTCGTCAAACAAAACCTGAACTAAGACGAATGCTTGCAAAGAATCTCCCTGTAGATCATCTCCGGCTGAACCTTTGGGAATGTGAGACTTCTTTAAAGGTATGGGAGCCAAAATGGCTTTAGGAGAGCTGAGTAGGTGCCCGTGTGTACACAATATGTGCAACAAAAGCAGGGGCTAATCCACCTAATTTACACAATGCACAGGGCCCTGTTTACACGGGAGATACCCTCAGAGGGCCCCTGTTTCGTTTTCCCTGCGTTTCAGACCGGAGAAGTGGACGAATGAAAGACAAAGTGAGCGATCAGTGGTGCCACACGGAATAAATCACACACGCGATTTCAACAAACACAAAGCATCGCTATCTTTCACTTATTTCACACGTTTACACCAGTTTCATAATGCTTCTTTTTTCTAAGATAAATCATGAGAGCTCTGGATTTTTTTCAGGCATTTCTATTAGAAAGTTTGGAAAAGTCTACACAGCGCAATCTGCAACAAATAAAGGCTTTTTGTTGCAAATGAATAAGACTGGACTATTTATGCACCAAATTATTTGTGTCCAGGCCTTGTTAGTAAACCTAGTTGATGCTAAGTGAAACAACTCTCACACCCAAATGAACAAAAGCAGAATTAACCTAAAGGAAACCAAACATATAAGGTGCACCTTCAGGTTTTTACGCATCCTCCAGCCAAGGATGCTATGAGTCAAACTGACCAGATGACAAAAAGCAAGACGCACCAATAACAATATAATTTATCTTTACAGCCAATATCAGTAATCCTGTCTCCCTATGTCAACGATTTTCAATAGTCTAGAACTACTGTCCTCAATTATTCTGCATGTTTGCACCGTGTGTTCTACTATACAATAAAAATACATATATAAAATCGTAATGTGTTTATGCTTTCTGTGTGGTCTTCGAGTAGGCAAATTGTGCGTGGGCCTATTTTAACAGATTTTATGACATCCACTCACTACGCAGCGGCACTGGACTAAGATTTACTGTAATTAAAAAGGTTACATATCAAGATGCATATCCTATTTCAGATGCAGATTCCTTTTTGTTTTCCTTGAGTGCATCCAAAACCTATTCTCTTATATGTTAACGCCCACTATGTACAGAAAGATACCAAAGTGAAACATTGTCTCATTTCCCTTTTGGAGACATCATCTCAAAACTGTTCTTTCGATACGCTGTTAATTTGCGTGTAGGTCTATTTAAAGTAAAAGGTTAATAAGACATTTAAAGGAGCAAAGACTAACGCTGAATAGAGCGTTGTCTTATTTTATGTCTATTCAGCTCAGCCACCTATTGACTGTTTAGGCAATACATTAAGGCTTCTGGCAGCTGCGACGATTTTTTTAATTACTGTATTGTCACCACAGTCCTAGATTTCTTGTTTATGCGACTTAGAGCCCTTTATATACTTCCCGTGGGTAGGTGCGCTTCACTGTTTCCATAATTGCATTTTTCCAGAAGGGGTAATTACTCTGGCACATCCAGGTGAATTCTTGCGCTAAAATTGAAATATCCTGCTTTAATCCTCCCTAAATCCCAATTCTCAGGACACGGGGAGGTGAGCAGCAGAGGAGTCATGTGGAGCTCCGGTTGCTTCTTCAGGTGAGCGTCGCGTCCCAGGGGAGCGGAGGATCTCCTCTCGCCGTCATAAGCATAAAACAAGATTACTAGATCTTTATCACCGAGCACCCCCCAGAAACAGGAACAGACTGCAAGTTGTTTTGCGGGGGATATTTTAAACTTAAAAGAAAAAGTCATAAATACACTTCCCTGCATGTTTTCCAGGGGGTTCATGCCTTTAACACAACAGCAAGTGAGCTTGTTTATGTAAATGAATCAGGAAATGCATTAGTAAAACTGTGCTTGATATCTTTGTTTCACATGCTGTTTGAAGGAAAAGGGGCTCCTAACATTTACCAGATCTTAAAAATAACACCCCTTTCTTCTTATAAACAATATATGTACTGTTCGCACTAGATTCCATATTTTAAGTGTAGTCTGTCTTGCAGGAGTAAATACCGGCAGAAGTTTGTACATTCTTCTTGTCATAGTGCTGCCTGAATTTACCTTCACCACATCTTTAATTTGTAGTCACCAGGAATAAAAGGCTGAATCTCAGCTCTGGCAGCTCCCATGTCAGTCTTTGCTGGAGCGGGTGACAGAGAACAGCAGAGGTAGATAGCATTCTCAAATCGCATCACTAGAGACCTCACATCAAAGCAGACCAAACCTCATATTGAGTGAACTTTTAAGCCAGAAAGACTGTGTGACATCAGAGCACCTAAAATGTGACTGTCATGTTTTTCAAACTTGGCTGAACACAGGCTCAAAGACTTAAGAAATATTCAATGGCAAAGCTCTTTTCAAACACACTCACTAAGATTAGCAGTCTTTGTCTTACAGGAACCTCAAAGACCAATTAGACTGAGAGATGGGTGTGGTGAATTTGTCAAAAATGAGATGACAGATATCACTTTGGCAGTGAGCAAACATAGCTGGGGATTTCACTCAAGTGCATCATTGACAAGGCTCTGTCAGAAAATGTGTCATCTTCAGCAGACCTGCCAGTTGACAAGGATGCAGCTTGGGATTGAGACTGATCAATTCCCAAACTGCCAACAAGACATGGCTCTGATAGTGGCAGTTTATTTTGTGAAGTAAAAAAGTACAATTTCCTTGGATATATTGTCAACTTTTTATTTGGATCACAGGCCTGCACCGTCCCAGGATACAGAAGTAAGAGAATGTGTGCAGCAAATTTCAGATAAAACAAACAGTGTCATATATATGTTGGCTCTCAAAGCAGAGTTTTGACCTTCCCACATTCCTTTTTTGGACATTCAGTGCACGTGTCTGGTTTTGTTGTTTAATGTACACCAATTCAAAATGTTTAATACTTGAGTTTGTCTTTGGCCACTATTTCTAAAGTGAAATCTGATACTCAAAGCATTTTCCTCTTCAAAGTTGTCTCCTGTTGTGCTTTGTGACCACAGTAGTGTCAATCTCATATTTTCAAAGCCTCATCTCTGTGTCAGCTTTGAGTAGCTGTCTATAAATGTCTCCAAATGGAGTTAATGCTTTGATGGCTGCTCTGAAAACAGTTGGGAACATTATGACAAAATCTAAAGTGGAAAAACAATTTATATTGATTTGGCTCCACATGAAATTTGACCTGTGATTTTTAAATTGCTGTCCTAAGCAGAAATTGTGTTTGATGTTAAAACAGCTCGGAAACAAGCTCAAAAGCGTTGTGGCAACTGCAAGGAAGGAAATCCCAATGAGCCGTAAATGATGCATCACCAGAACTCTAGAACATCTGTAATGTGCTCGCAAAATATAGGCTAATCTCTAAATCCAACATCTGGCCTCAAACTGCACATCAGTTTATCATGTTTGTCATCAACATACTGATTTGTGTATAAAAGACCTGAGGAAATTGCTTTATTATTGTTGATAATCAAAAAATTGTTTAAGTCAGCAGAAATATTAAACATTAGTGCCTGCCATATTTGAGAATTTGTTGCTTTTCTTTGTCTATAAGACTGAAAATCATATGAAATCAAATTCAGGGGTGTTCTAGGGGCTTACACGTCTGACCTTTTCTTAAATAAATCAAAAGTGACCTCTCAACATCAGTTAAAAAGATTATAGGCTATTGTTGTCAGTATGAACATGCAAAAATAACCCTAGCCAATGCATCACATTGCACTAAAGTCGAAGACGTTTCCTGTTTATTTGCCCTTGCCCTGCCATCAAACACTCTGGTATCATGAAGTGATTGTGTAGCCTACAGGACTCTGAACGCTTCAAGAACACGGGTGACCCACACTCACTATGGTCCATGAACGCCTCCAGTGTGAGCATGCGGAGGCGATGCTCACCTGACCGTCAGGTGGATGGCACCTCACGCTCTATTTGAAAATATGCTATTTCAGAGTGATTAAAGAGGATGTGTTGGTAAGTAACCGTGTAACAGAGTTCTTCACATTTCCACTGTAACATTAATCCTATACCTTAATGCACAGTTAACCTAAAATCAAAGTGGTTGGTAGCCAGTTAAGCTACGCTATCTAGGCTGAATTAGCACGGCTAACTACTTCTATTACTGCTGAGAGACGAGCAGCCATTTTATTTTATCTGTTAAAAAAGGGCACTGGAGGAAGAAGTACTCAGGTCTACTTAAGCAGCAATACCATAGTGTGGAATACTCTGAAAAGCAAAAGTCCCGCATTCCAAATGTTACCTAAGTAGAAATATAAAATCATTAGCGCCAACCCATCATATTTGGACCATATACTCTAAACTTAGCTTTAATTATTAATTAGGAAAAGTATATTATGTCTGTTGTTAACTATTATCAAAAGGCCCTGTTGATTTGATTCACCACTGTGGTAAAGGCTGCTTGCTTAAGCAAAGCTGACTTTTTGTTGTAAATAGTTCTACCAAATAATAATAAAATAAGAATACCAGTAGTATAGTCACAATTGTGAATGTGAAAATCAGTCTGCTTATAATGTCAGATATATTTATTAGTAATTGTAATATTAGAAAGTAGTTCATATTCACTCTGTTCGGTTTTAGATGAATGCCTTAGTAGCCTATTCCATTTTTACCACCAGTAATCCTGCATTCTAATAGTCACTGACATAATGATGAAATATGTGAGGTCTGTGGACATGTTAAAAAGAAAAGCTCTTAGTGTTGTCCTAAACAATAGCTGTGTGAAAAGCTGCGTTTGAAGCTATGGCAAGTGATTGGGAATAATCAAATGACAATAATCAGATGAAAAGAGGGGCGATCTCAATAAACTTTGCCATTCAACCATTCAAGGTTCAATCATATCAGAGGTGTTTTGCATAACTATGAGATCCTGGTTCTAATCCTCAAAGGGTTTTGGGGCTACTTGGCTTTGCACTGTAGTCATTCAAGGTCACAACCCGGTAGGAAATATGGGCTGCCATAGCAACACAAAAATGGTCTCTAAAGGCTTAGCATAATTCTTCCCTAATAGAAAAATAACAGCGGCAAATCCCGTCCTTAGTGAAGTGGCTTATTTGACAGAGGCGGACTCCCACCTGTGAAGCACATAGTCACCACACCAATGCGCTAAGACTGTGATAAGATGAAAAAGAGCCTATCTCTGGATGGGGATGGGCGGCCTAAACTCAAGCCAAATTCTTTCTCTTCTGAAGCTGAAAACAGCCCACAGCATGTCTGTGGCTAGCTTTAGGTTTTTGAAGCTGGACAATACGAGCTGCCAAATGAATCTTACTTTCTTTATAGTAGCCAGCTTTGAAGTGTTTAAGCCATACTCTGAGAAAAACCTCTGGTAGGAGAAGTTGACTTATATGGGATCAAATCTCAGCCAGTGAATTGTTTTTACCTTCCTTCTTGAAATTATTTAAACTCAAGGAGAGCTGTTGCTTCTTGGCACATCCCTGATAAAATCACTTCAGTTTTAATGTTCACGGGATGTTCTAGTGGTAGAAATATTGCATTAGGATGTTCTAAACCTGCCTAGTAACCACCCTCTTTCGTCTGATTGTGATGATCACAAAATACGTGATCTGCTTCCCTTTACTCCTCCTCCCACTTTGTTGCCAGGTACCACAGAGATGGATTCTTGTCACTGTGTGAGTTGCATCAGGATGATGAGCAACGGGAGGAGAATAAATTACCACCACACTTAGGAGAGGGAGGCATGTAAGTATCAGCCGCTACAGCAGTGCATTCCTCTCTGCTTATGGAATCACTAATGAGAAACAATACCCAGTGATGTTTCAGCCATGGTGACTGAGCTGAAATTAAAGGCTTTATAAAATCATTACTGTCAAAGCTCACTATGAAAATCAAATGATTTCCCAACATGGTTTTTTATAAAATGTATATGAATGAAAGACAACTGTAGTCATGAGACGTGATGCCTCCTCTGCTGTGCACCTGAGTCAGCCATTTTTAGCTCGAATGGATTTCTGTTTATTCACTATATTCAACAGCCAGAGCCTCATTGCCAGGCTAAGATGCTACATCTTCCTGTCAGTATCCTACTGCTGATGCCAGCCACTTATTCAGCTGCGTTTAAAGTGTATTTCAGCCTGCTGGGATGAGTCCTGCCACCTCATTTCTGACTGTGCATAATCTCATCATTGTCAGTGATGTTTTTCTGTTTCACGGCGTTCAAGAGCTTGTAGTCAAGATGACAGAGCAGAACTGAAAGGAAGATTATCATTATATCATAATGTCCTTTCAGCGTGGGGCAGAAAAGGCTTCATGTTTTTGGCTTGCTGTTACCTAACTGCTATATCAACATAAAAGTCACTAAAAGCTAAAACGACTCTCGGCTTAATATCTTAATATCACTGAGGATAAATTCTCCCTACCTTAGCACCTGGTACTTATGGGACTGATAACTGTAAGGCTGTTCAATTAATACTCTAAAGGGACTTTTTTGTCATGCAAATGAGAGTTTTTTAGCAATTCATCTTTTTGCTGTTGGGCAAATATGCAAAATTCATATTAATATTCTATTCCTCACTTTATATTAAGATGCATTCCTTGTAATATACTGCCATTAAAAACAATATCTTTCTCTTTGCTCCTTACCCCTTCACATTCTATTGCTACCTTTAGAAGCAATGAAAACCACATCACTGGATTCCCTGAATTCCTACAGCTTGCCTACATTATTGAGTGACTTTCAGTGGTGTCTTCACATTAAATGAGCAGTAACATTCATAATGGCCATGTGTGGAACTGAGCCTATTTTATAGTGCAGCCCCAGTGGCTAGCAGAATATAGTAATTAAATCAACACTGTATGGATGAGTGTCCAACTAAGGCCAGACTCTCATCCCTGATGGGATTCCCACTGAATATCATCAGCCTGTAAGCCTCCTGTTTCAGACTTACACCGAGCATCTTTCTACATCAAAGCCTGCTTAGCATCGTGTCTCAAAGATTCGCATCTCCAGGAAAGAATGGCCTCTGCTGAGATATGGACTCCTCTGGCCTCATTTAACGTGCGTGGTCCCCTCCCCCTCTTTAGGCCTGAGTCTCAGGATAGAGTGGCTGTCTGAGGAGATCACTCAGATAGGTGCGGGAACTTAAAGGCAAAGAGTTAGTGTGTATCCTAGCAGGACTCTCAAAAGGGTTCTATGAGAACACGTTCAATATGCGAGTCAGGGCCTTCAAAGTGCTGTACACCCTCTAGCCCCGGCAAACTCAAAAGGGCATCAGTGCACACTGAGTAAAGGGAATCTGGCCTCCATTAATTTAATGAGTCCAGGGCATTAGTATGCCATAGCCAGCTGTGAACTCTCCCTTTTTTTCCATCTGTGGTTGAGTTTTAAGGAAAGATCCACCAACTTGGGAGTGACAAAGGAGAACAGGGAACGAGGTACGCTCATCTAATCTGAGATCAATTTCTAGCTGTCAGCCCTCAGAGGACAATTTCCAGTGGTTAAGATGTCTTTGTGCAAGCTGGAAATCCAGATAAAGAATGCAGAGTGGCACATTTACTGTCACCAGGAGAACTCTGCTGTCTCTTTAACATGATTGCATTCTCAGAAAACACCACGAAACTTGTAAAAAAAAAAAAAAGGGGGGCAGGGGACTGGTGCTTGGAGACATATTTGCATAACATATTTGGAAACATGCTGTGGTCATTATAGCAGTGTGAGCTTTTTCATTCAAATCTTGTCTACAGTCACTTCACAGTTAATTAACTTGGTAAACAGCAATGTTGCTTTTTAAAGCTGTAACACCTGACTTAAAGGAGAACACAGCCTGTCGCAATACACTGTGAGCTGACATGCAACTGACAGTCACCTGTAAGAGATTACAGAGACAGTGGAGTTTGCCAAGGCCTGTCAACCAGGAAGTAGCAGCTGCTGGAGCTAATTAAAGCCATAGTAAGATAGTAACATAGCCCAGCTCATGGCCACATCAAACACTCCTCTTCATGCCAGTGTGGAGTCTCATCTCTTGGATGTTGAGGCCCTCTGTGACCTGTGCTGGGAGCCTGCTGGGCTCCAAGTCTGACCTGAGAGCTGTGGGGTGAACCAGAATGGGTCAGGATCACTGTGGGGTGCACCTGGACCAGACTTACCTGTGTCTGTATATCTGCATACTAAAACATGGCCATGTGGCTTGGTGAGGGTAGGTGCATGGACTCTGACCTGTACAACAAAGACAAAAAGAGAGCCTGGGTGAGAGGTCAGGAAGAGAGAGGAGGCTTAGCGAAAACACACATAGGACACATTGGTTAAACATGATCAGAGAGCCACATATGTCTCAGCTGAGGTAGAACCAGATGCCCTCAGATGTCCTGATGAAACATAAACCCAATGTAAACATGTAGCTTCAGTAGGAATTGTCCTCGAGTTATGCATAATTTATCGATAAGCTTCAATTAAGATGCAGTATCATTGCGTTTGGAAACGGAATGATCTCTAGATAAAAAAAACCCAACAACTTATATTTGCACATTAGAAAGCTGTTTCAGAGTGCATCTGTCCCACACTGAGCTCAGTCGTAATGAGCACTCTCGCTAAACAAAAGTACCTGAAGCCCACTGAGATAAGGTTGTTCCATCCAATATATATAGATGTGATAAAAGAAAAAAGATAAAAGAACAGGCACTTGACTCTCTCCGGTCCATCTGTCTCTTCTCTGAAGCTGTATATCAGTTGTAGAGCCTGTCTGTAACTAACCAGAGAAACATATCCAAACAAATTTTTTATGAAACCTTTGCTCAGATGCAGTTGCAGCAACAATATAGCGGATAAAGCTGTAGAAATAGTTTTATCATATAATGCTTTCCCTTGAGTTCTGTGATATAAACTAGATTTTTGTTTTATTGAAGATTGCATCAGTACTGTCAGGATTTTTGATAAAGTGTTCTTCACTTTCTGGACCAAATGTTTTCGTGTTTACTTACTTCACAGTCAACTTTGAAGATACATGACGGGGTTGATGAGCACAATCGCATAGGTTGCAGTTGCAGTACTGAGTCAACATCGAGTCTAAAAGGAGTGTAGCAGAAGGGTGTGGGTGTTATCAGTGTGCAGTGATCTGGCCCTGTTTGGTGGAAGGCTCTGGGTGCTGTGTTGCGGCTCTCCGGGCTGGTTCTGCTGCCATATCTAGGAAGACATCTGCCGTATGGCACCATGGCGCGTCTTCCTGGGGCGCTACGCTGCAGCACATGGACAACCTGAAGTAGGTGCCTGTCTCCACCTGCCACACAGAGCACTGACACACACAGGGATGCATGCAAGCAGACCTGTCTACAGGCGTGTCGCTGTCAGCCGAGAAAGACACCAATTTGCCATTGTCTTCGGGAGGTAAACACAGCACAGCTGACATATGCAGAGAACATGTTCAGAATTGCTCAGTCAAAATAGAGTATTTTTTTTCTTGTCTGATAACACTTCACAATAGCGATGAAAATTTCAATCAGGCCTATGTTGGATGTTTTTTTGTGCCTGCCAAATAGTAGGCCTGAACAAAATGACAAAGCCCTTCACTGGACTTTGGGAGCCTGATTATTCTGCCACCCTGGGCAGCCAGGTTCTCTTGTTGTGTAAAATAGAGTGAAGGCAACTTTCCGCTTCACGTCTTTATGGCTTGATGCTCAGAGTGACTGGCTGTGAGGGTCTGAGTGCTGTGTTCTTTCAGCAGTCGTCGTGTGGTCTCAATCTCTTTACACGTTTCACTGCCAGGCTCCTCTCTACCAGGCCTCCCCAAACTGTGTAATCAGCAGATGTCTTTATAGAGCAGCCCACTGCCACATGCACACCCTGCATTCTTTGCCAATTTTATTTTGGCAATATATAATTTTTTTTCTTTTAGATTATTATTATTCTTTCAGGCATGGCAGCCATGTTGATTTGGTACTGAATGTGGCCTGAGGTTGCAAATACTGCTTCGCTCAGCACTTTGAATTCATGTGCCTGAATGATATATCCTATGTGTGTTTAGGTTAACTCATTCTATTACACCACAGACGTGCTGACAAAGTGGTGCAAAGTGAATCCTGTGACCTTCATAAAGACAGAGTTAGACCAACTGAGCAGGTTTTCGGGCTCATCATCCCAGAGCAGGAATAGTTTCACTTCTCTAGTAAGCAATAGTTTGTTCCAGGGGTGGGGGGGACAGGTTACCTGAATTACTTTATACACAAAACCCAATTGGACCCCTCCATAACAAATATACTCATTATGGTGAACTCTGTCAACAAATATGTATTGTAGAATAAAGCACAGAAGGTGTGTATTTTAGAAAATCAAACATTGTCAGAGTAGCCGGTTAACTGTGATTTTTGGTTAATTTATGAACACTCATTAGATCACATTGTGTTAAAACTATGATGAAATGTATGAAAATGTTAACTTAAATTAGTGATATTGCACTACAATTAGAAACAAATCTCTTATGTTCAGATGGAAAAGAATTAGGGCTGCTCTAAAATAAAGTTATTTGAGTTCTGACTTTAAAGCTGACTTTTAATAAACAGTCTGAATTCTGAGGAAAAAAGTCACAACTCTTTTGTTCACGGTGGCCCTAATACATGTCTGTACTTACACTATGATGAAATGGACATCATAGTTACATGTATACATGTTATGAAAGATTAGTCATAATACCAGTGCAGTGTGTAAGAACAGTTTTGAAGTGCTATATTTTGTTTTTTCATTTTATGCTACT